ATAAAATTACAACAATGATAAAACCAAAGGAAGAATTCAGATGTTAAAATGAGACCTTCGAGATGGACATCATATTGGTGGTCAGTGTACCAGTCTTGTCACTGCATATCACCGTAGTGCAGCCTAAGGTCTCAACTGATGGCAAAGATCTAACTATGGCATTTAAACGAGCCATCCTTTTCGTTCCAAGAGCTAGACACCTGATGTTGAGGCAAAAGGTTCAAATGTGAATTCTACAAAAACATAAACTGCTGCTTATTGCGACATAAAATCTTAAGGAAAAATTAGCAAATAGAGATGGAATGGACATTGGATCCGGCATAATAAATAAAGCAAATAGATGGAATGGACATTGGATCAGGCATAACCAAATAATATTTATTCAGATCCTTAGCAATAATATAATAAATAAAACTAGCATCTGAATACCAAATAAAGTAATAGAGATGGAATGGACATTGGATCCGGCATCGATGAAGCAATAAAATGTCACTGACACAACATATGAAAACACAGGCAAAAAGATGGCTTCCAATATAATTAACGAATTGTTGCTCGTTTCACTCATATTGAATAGTTTTGGCTAGGTTATTGCTTCATTGATGAAACTCATAAAGGAGAAGACTTCCAGTAGCTTGCTCGATGAGATACCGAAGAAGTCTTAGAGCCAATACATATTTCTGGGGGTAATTGGATATGGATTGTTTTCAGTTTCATATTGCTGAATAAATTTTATTCTTGTGGACCTACAATTGGATAACTTTTTCAAAAATAGGAAAAAAAATACGTGTGTTTGTATATAAAATTACTCAATCCATACTCAAAATCTAACTCACTCTAACCCAACCCCACTATCCTCAATATTACCAACAAGAACAACAACAACATAGCCTTTAGTCCCAAGCAAGTCGGGGTAGGCTAGAGATGAAACCCAAGAGAAACACAAAAAAGACTCGAACCAAAAGGGTTAAAAAAAAAAACGAGAGAGAGAGAGAGGAAGGAGCAAAAGTCACGGTTCTGGCACGTTGATAGCGAGCCTCCAAGCGCTCTTATCCACCGCTAAATCCTTGGAGATATTCCAATCTTTAAGGTCTCTCTTAACCGACTCTTCCCAAGTGAATTTAGGCCGACCTCTACCTCTCTTAACATCCTCGACCCGCTGAAGAACTCCCCTACGCACCGGTGCATCAGGAGGCCTCCGTTGGACATGTCCGAACCACCTCAGCCGATGTTGAACCAATTTCTCCTCAATTGGAGCCACCCCGACCCTATCTCGAATATCCTCATTCTGGATTCTATCCCTTATCGTGTGCCCGCAGAACCAACGCAACATACGCATCTCTGCTACACTTAGTTGTTGGACATGTTGCCTTTTTGTAGGCCAACATTCAGCACCGTATAGCATCGCCGTGCGAATCGCCGTCCTATAAAACTTACCTTTTAGCCTTTGTGGCACCCTCTTATCACAGAGAACGCCGACGCCTGACGCCATTTCAACCAACCGGCTGCAATTCTATGCCTAACATCAGCATCAATGCCGCCATCCTTTTGTAGCATCGATCCCAAATACCGGAAAGTCTCCTTCTTAGCCACCACTTACCAATATATTTATTTAATATCAACCAATAATTCTTACACATTAAATCAACTTTAAATATTTTATTTTAAATATTATTTTAATATAAACTCAAAATCCCACTAACTAACCATGCCACGTTTTTTCAAAATTAACCTTGGTTAACCAAAAAAACTCATTTTGAGTGGATAAATTTGTATACAAGCTCCCCCTAATAATCTATTCCTACTATTTTTTTCTCCTCAATCTTATCAACACAACTGAATTATAAAAATTTAACACTACCCCGCATTTTTCAACTAAATTCAACATTCATGCACTCACAAATTTTAACTACCAATCATTATTTAATGATTTTTATATCTCATCAACTTTAATCATTATATTTTCTCACATTCATTCACAATCACCAAATTGTTTTATTCTTCCATCCAGAAAGAATTTCTACTTTCTCAATCACTTATTCCATTGAGATAATTTTTTCCAAAATAATCTATATCCAATTGCATATGTATGCGGATTTGGAGACAAAATCCCAACAGATTTTAAAGGAAAAACCAATGTATAAACCCAAGTTCAATTTCCTTTGACGTAATGACTATCAATTCACAGATAGACCACTCTACAAGTATGTTCTATAGCAACTATAGCATGATTTACTCCAGATGTTGATATCATGGACCATACTGAACTTTTTTTAGGTTATGTTTGTGAATGGTGATCTCATATGACAAGACAAATGGTAATACAAATAGAGCTGAGAACTAACGTTGTAACCACAGCAGGTAGCCCTTCAGGGATGGCTGCAACAGCAAGAGCAACTGCAATCTGCAGAGGCAACCACAATCAAATTAAGAACCAATCAGCCAAATAAATAACACAGAGAATTTATGTTGAAAAACATAAGAAAATCAACACTGGAGGTAGTAATGAGGATAAGCTAGTGTAAACTTGGTCACAAGTTATATTCAATCATCCTCAAAATGATTACCAAGTCAGATGGCATCTGATTAACTCGAAATAAACGAATTGTATCTCTAAATAATCATGATCTGGTTCAATATAGGTAACAAGAAAACTGAAGCTCAAATGAATAACAAGATAATTGTATTTACTAGTTGCAGTATAGAGAAAGATGAGATGAAGACTGGGGCATCAAAACAAACCAGGACAGGTACAGTTTCATTTTTATTTTTCTTTGTGGGTGGGGATCACAAACGGTTTCTGATGATTCCATTACCGCTCACATGGGTAAAAAACACACACAAACATATATGCATGTGTTACCTGGTGAGGAAAAAATAAGAAAAAGAAAGGGGGAAAAGAAAGAAAGAGAGAGAGAGAGAGAGAGAGAGAGAGAGAAATTTATTCTGATAGACACATTGAATATCTAGGCAACAGAACCACCTTTTATAAACTTTCTGAGAAAGCATATACTACAAAATATTGTGAACAAACGATTCTTGGCAATTGTTAAGTTAAACACAATGAAGAAGCCTATTAGTAAGAGGAGATGAATACATCAAAACCTAAAGGAGTTCTGGAAAAGAAGAGCAGAAGGTTGGATAGAACACATCCATGTACCTTGAAGTAATGTATTGCACCTTGCAAGAAGCCACCATGCGTGGGATCCCGAAAGTGACCAATGTTAACAACCCAAACCAAAATGCAAATTCCAGCAATGACCTGAATTGAATGAAGAATATTAGATAAAACGACGGAATACATTCAAGTCCAAAACAAGAAACAGATGGTTTCAACATAAAATTTACAAAATGTCAGTTAATTCACCTTAGCCAAGAAAGTACCGAATTCGTCCAGCTTCTTCTTTAGTGGTGTCACTTCCTGCAATACATAAAGAAATTGAAGAAATTCTCAAATCTAATAGCTACAGATATGCCTGTTGACATTTGCTAACAGCAATATCCAGTGTTTATTCACTAGAAAAAAAAAATATATACATATATATATATATATATATACTGTAAGCGTAGATAACAAATATTGTATATGATATAGTCAACACATCTCTAGAATATAACGCCAAATTTCAAGATGCTAGTTCGCAGTTTACAAGCAAATTAAGCAAACCGCTATGTACTACAGACCAGGTAGCCATCCACTATTACGCTCGATAGGAATAAAAAGAATAAACTTGGTCATCAACCAAAAAGTTGCTCAAAGTTCTTAAACAAGAGACACTCACATCTTCTGTATTCAGCATGGAGTCGCGTATGCTTCCCATTGCAGTATTGGAGCCAACACCAACAACAACTGCTCTTGCCCTTCCAGAAACCACGACTGTTCCCTGAAAGTTCAGTTAAGAAAAATATCAACGCCAAGGGCCCATAACTAGCAAAAACTAAGCAGAAACAATTAATTTTGGCTACCAACTTCTGCCAGAAACTTGCATATTTAAAATATACAGTTTGCCAAGCATCATAATGTTTTCAAATGTTATAAGTAAAAGAAAACTCGTGTTAGCACAAAACTTCAATATGTCGTCACATTTAACATGTATATCCAAACCATTGGACCAAGATACATAAAATGATCATTTTTCTGGACACCTGAAATGGGATGCATTGAAAGAACAGCTTCAATATAATACCGAGAAAAGAATGTTTGTCTTGTCCTGGTATACTGCATTTGTAACATTAGTGGCATCCAGTTCTTTTTCCACAGAACAGCTCTCACCTATGAGTGAACAAGAAAGAATTGATTTATCAATCTACTTCAATCAGCAAAAATCAATCAGATAAGGAAAAAGTACAAACCCAATAAAATATGTAAGTGTGTCAGTAATAACAACATGAAGCGAACATGGCTACAGTAAAATAAATGTAAACTGCCAATTAGCAGACTTAAAAGCGTGAAGAAGCTGACAAATTTTGGTTAAGAAACAAAATTTTGGTTAAGAAACAACTTACATATCTTCATGAGATTATGGCCAGATTATAGGAAGAGAGAATTAAATTAGAAACAGAACCAAATTCCCAGCCTTTATAACTAATGTTGGGAATAATTAAACTACTACTAATAAGTGTCGTTTTGGGAAGTTGCACACTAGTTAAGAATAATTTTTTTGCCAATAATAACCCTCATTAATGAAGATAGAGATGGATGTTTTAAAAAAAAAGATGAAAAGAATATGAAAAGACGTAGTGTATTTATTAACTAAATGAGGGTAATAATGGAAAAATATGTACAAAAGATCCAAAACGACATTTATTTTGGTTAATAGTTGATAAAGCCAAAATGACATTTAAAAAGAATAGGAGGTAGTATTATTTTTGAAAAACAGCAGATCCTAGTGAATAAGTTTTAGTTTACAGAATTGAGTCGGGCTCAGAAAAGATAAAAATCAGAAGTACCGGTAAGAATAGCCTGATCAACACGTAATTGATCGCTCAGCATATCTATCATCCTCATATCTGCTGGAACCTTGCAACCGACTATGCAACCAACATAAGAGATAAAATGTTATTAATTCAGTAAAAACATTACAGCTTTAGAAATTTGATAATAGCAATAGCCACTGACTGACATACCACTGACTTCCACAATATCTCCAGGGACAAGGTCAGTTGCTGGTAAGATTGAAAAAGAACCTATAACAATTATGAATATGCTTAGTAAACTTATATATTACAATATTTTAAAAAGATATACTAGACAGCCAACATGATCTATGAATAAGGAACAATAAATACAGGGCATCGAGCATAATATCAAGCAAAATTACATAGTTTGGAGCAGAGGAAGTCAGAATATTAAGCAATATACAAGATTAATAAAGCATGAAATCAATTTCAAACTATAAGACTAGGGTAGGCAATTCCGGACACAACACGAAAACATGACAAGAACACAACATGGAGATAATGAGTTATGTTGAACCTTCTCGTGTTCATTTTGTTATTGTGTCGACCCAATAGGGACACAAAAATTTCATGTCGAATTCGTGCCAACCCAACAACGACCCAATAACTCATATTAATGTATTTTTCTGTGCAATATTGTATCCAGTCGCGTATTATGTCATTGTGTACTAACTGGTTATCATATCTTTCACTTTTTTTTCTTTACTTCTTTTGTCTTATTAGTTTGTGTTTGTGTCGTATCGAAAAAACCTGACAAGATTAAACGATTTGCAACCTCTTTCAGATTAGCCCCACTCCCCCTCCTTGCCCCACAAAAAGCATTATTAAAGGCAAATTACAGAAGTATCGTTAGCTTCTCTAATACAAGCATAGATATAATAGCACTTTCTTTTTGAAAGTATAAATATCAATCAGTACACTTTTAGGGCTTAAAAAGAAATTCCATAGTTGAATATCTTTTTACTTCAACTTTCATATACAAGATACGAAATGTTAATTTGATTGTGACATGAAAATGAATATTACATTCTAACTATATTTAAATTTAAGTCAGTTATAAGTAAAATATTCCCTTTTATTGAGTAACAGCTACCCAGGGCTAAGAAAGTTTTTTATATTATACACCAAAAATGTGTGCAGTATTTCTCATTAACTACGGACCTAGACCCGCTGAAGACCTCAGTCCTGGTAACCATGTCAACAGAATAACATTTTCATATCTAAGCATTTACTATGAAACCCTTTAATCGTGATGATGTAAACCAGGTCACGTAAGAACATTTTCAAACTCTTATTAGAGCAATGCAGGACATGCCTAAAATTAATTTGGCTATGATGTGAAACCTTCAAAAGTCTGAAGTAACATAATACGACAAGCAACGAACATGAAAAGGGAAAAAGAGAGATTGGCTAACTTCAGATAAAGCAGGTGATTTGAGAGCAAGAGCTTAATGCATCAAACTACTGTGGATCAGTGACTGTTATCATAAATAAAATGAGAAATTTCAACAATTAAGAAATAGTTCTTGCTTTACCATTTCGCAGGACAGTTGCAACATCAGCTTGGTATGCACGTAATTCCTGCAAACCAAGGGAATGCGGATAAGCATCATGTAGTAAGTAATGCATACGCACGTACATATTCATTCTACCATGCACGATCTTGAAAAATCAAACTGACCTCGAGGGCCTTCTCCGCATTTGTTTCTGTGATTACTCCAACAGCTGCATTTGCAGCTAGTATCATGAGGATAACCTGTGGTTCGAATATGGTAAAGTAGTGAGCAAGTCAAGACTTGGTAAACAATAAATAATTGATGGTGCTGCTGTTTAACAAAATCAACAAACTAAGGCTTGATAGACCTCCTTACCTATGTAAAAAACAAACGGCAAAATGTTGAACGAAAAATTACCCAGACAATTTGTTCAGTTGTTATCTCTCAACTCTCAGACCATATTGAACAAGTGAATGATATATGAGGACCATGTTTTGGGTTAAAAAAGGACTTTCTCAAAGCAACTAGCAATTTGCTACAAAATACCATTGTTCTGAAAAGAGGTATATTCTGGCCACAATTCTCATATACAGTATCTGGTGTTGCCTACTACAAACAAAGATTCTATTGACAGACCTGGAATGGCACCACTAGTCACCAGCCGGCGGATAAATCAACTAGCAAATTGAGAAGATCAAACATTTGTTTTCCACAGGATAATCAAGTCTATTATCAATAGCAGCTATAATTTGCGACTGAAGAGTTTCCGACCATCCAATAAGTACTTGAATGCAGAATAAAAGCAACACATGCATGGTCACAATAAAAATAGCCATTGCACATTGTTTCTCAAAACAGAGTAAAAAAAGATTGATAAACACATATGCAGAACAAGTTGTTATCTTACTGAAGGCTCCACGAAGGCAGAAAGGCCTGTCTCTCCATTGGCCAAAGCCAAAAAGAAGGAGACCATAGCAGCAGCAATTAATATCTTTACGAGTAAATCATCAAACTGCTTCAACACCAATCTCCAAAAAGGAGTACCTGCAACAAGAAGAAACAGTAGCAATGTTAAAATTCATTATTCAACAGAAGGGATAAAAATTATCTTGAAGCAGAAATAAAGAAACAGATGCACCAATAATACTCATAAAAATCAGGATTTGGTTATCTAATTGAAGTCCATAAACTAGTTTGTTTCTCTTACTAGTTATGGTTTACTGGAATCGAGGGCAAGATACAAAATCAATGCATGAGCAACATCAATTTTTTTTATATGGTAGAATACAGTAGACATATATAGTTAAAAGTCTGAGATCATGGCTTGCATGCCATTCCCGCATGTTTACATGTGTGTGAGTTTGTGCGAGCGCAAGGGTGTGGTGGGGGCCAGGGGCGGGGTGGGTAAGTCTGTGTGTGTGTGTGTGTGTGTGAGAGAGAGAGAGAGAGAGAGACTGGCTTACTTCGTTCTTGAGGAAGCACTGCAACCAAGCATTTTACATGCATTCGAGAGATAATGAGCAACATATTAGATTAAAAGTAACAAAAATAAAAAACAGGAGTCAACTAAATGAGAAGTACACAATATGAAATGGACATGTACTATCTGTAGCATTACAAGCTTATATGACTGCTGAATATCAAAGATAACCACTATTCATCCAGGAAGCCAAACAAGTCAGAATATTGAACAACTATTGTGCTTGATATCAGAAAAGTAGTAGTGCGGGGGACAATTATTCTTCTTTAGAATTTTTTGTTACTGTGTCTAGCATTTACTTTCTCTTAGCAGCATAACAGAAATTGCCCTATTACGGCCCAAAAAAGAATGTAAGGTTCATGTGAGTCAGAACATGTAATGTACAGCCAAGACCAACTTTATTCCTATACAATCCATAAATGGTGGATGTAATATTTCCTTGACTACTCTGACTACTCATACCCTTCGGTTCTCCACAACATTTCATACGATGTTTTACCAAAATGTCCATTAAAATTATCCGGTTGTGGAATCTGAACCGAATAGCCACTGATTCAGCTGCCCATGCACAAGGCAGTCAAGATATTTGCTTCCGTATATTATGTGGAAAGGTTTTGAGATGTCAAGTAGCTTTTAACAATGACGAAATGAAGACACTTGGGTAATCGTTTATAGAGAAGTCTAATTGAAAATCATAAGGGAGAAATAATAGAATCATGATTTGATTATATTTCCAAAACTTCAATTGAAAAATATCATTTCCAGCAAGAAGAAATCTCACCAGAAATGTAGGTTGTCCAATCCACACCCCAGGGCTTCGCTCATGCAAAGCGTATCTTTTTTAATTCAAACTACCCTTTGCTATCAGTTAAGAAAATACATCCACCACTTTAAATGGAAAAGCGATCGTGAGGAAAATTGTTAAAACAGTATGTCTTCAGGCTTTCATTTACCCTACTATAGATGATGCTGTATCTATATATGCTAAGCTAAATTTTCTGCAGATTATTCTTCATTAACCATCCAATAGCCACGGAAATACAATACTAACCGTTTTTCCCATACAATCTACCATGATTCGCGACCTGGAAAACAAATAAACAAATAAGCACGGCCCCCTTTAGTAGAATACTTCTCATATCAACACTAGATTAGCGGAAAACGAAAATCTTGATTTGTGGAAATGCATCCGTAACCAAACAATGGGAATGTGTCGATCAGCCAATAGTAACAACTGTTTTACCTGCGAATCTGTCAAGCCTCTTGCCGGATCCACGCCAAAGAACTCCAAAACCTGTTCACATATTACAAATACACACTAATTCCGAATGCCACCAACTTAAAATTGAGTTAAAATTATCAAATATTATGATAATACAATTTTAATGCATTAAGTGCTCTAGAATAGTGGGAAACCCTAATGAATATAAACAGGGTAAATAATCACGATAAACATCTTTAACTCCAATCTAATAGTGTGCAGTGCTTTGCTGATCTAGGAAAACTAGGAAGAAATTATTTAAAAAAATATATATATGTTGAGTACAAGCTGAAATTTGCTGCTTCAACTTAACGGAATGTGAGAAGATTTTACCTCGCTGACCGATCTAGCGTAAGCATTCTCCATTGTTTTCCCAAAGTTTGAAACGATCACCACAAATTACTTCTTGATAATCTGATCTTTTATTTCATTATTGCGGGGGAAACTAAAAAATAAAGGAACGAAAAAGTTAGAAAATTTGATTGATTGATCAAAGAGAAATTTAGGGTTTATAAGTGGGAGAGCAAATCAAAGTAGTTGTGTGAATTTTAGTACAGTAGAGCCAAAGTGCATCCCTCGTATTATACCATGTTATGCGTCGTTGGTACTCTGTCTGAAGTTAATTTAGCTTCGCATTTTCCAGAGGGTATATTTCCCAGAGGGTATATTATATGGTAAGTTCATCAAGCAGGAAAGAAAAAATGAACCTAGTCTTACTAGTCACGTGACTTGTTTCGTTCTTTTTTTCCTAAAAATGACGAGGATAACTAGTACAACTAGTACAGTACCCGTGCGATGCACGGGGGTTTATTATCCCCGTCTCTTTTAAAAAGCAATTTTCAATTAAAATTCAAAGTATTTACTAAAAGAAAGATCATGTCATTAATAATTAATAAATATAATGAAAATAAAATCTATATATTATTGATCATTTCTTTATATACAACGTTCATGGTTTGATTCTTTGACACGTAACCGTCGCCACAAATTAGGATTTTCAAACTATTTATGTTTGTGACACGGGAGACAACAACATACAACTGGCCATGAGAAAATACTGGTTTTTCTTAACAAATAAGCCCTCATGCAAATAATTGTCTCTGGCTCTTATTTATAGTCATGGCGTAAGAAACCATAATGAGAAACTGTCGACGCTGAAACTTGAAAGGAATTCTAACATCAGAAGGAAATATAGTCATTCTTGGAATCAACACTTTATCACTCGCGTGATTGCCAATGAGTATCTTGCACTCGAAAACGTGAGTGGAGAGCTTTGTGACAACCAACTGTGTCTCATTACACAGACCCATAGAGCATATATGGTTACAAAATATCAAGTTAAAAACGATCGGATAAGCTTAAGAAATAAGATCACGCTTATCAATCCTATTATTCAAACCCTTATTCGAGTAGTTACTTGTTTTCTAGATATATATTTGTAACAACCATTAGTATTTTGGATAATGTAGATTATATAACTCAATAAAATACTGGTATAAAATATAAATTCAAAATTGATTTACGTCATGTTTTTTGTAGGATTTATTTTCTTAAATAATGTGATTACGATCGACTTCAAAAAATATGTTTATTCGTTTTTGTTAAAACAAAAACAAAAACAAAAAATGTGCCACGTGTTACATGTGTCTCGAATTTTGTCGGTTATTGAAAATTATGTATCATATAAATGTGACATAATGTTACCAAATTAATAGAGATTGTTACAATTTAATTTGGCAAGGCTTTTTGGATTGATTGAAAAATAATGTTTTTATTTTGATATGTCTTATTTATCAAATCTCAAGAATTTTTTATTTTTTTGCAATATTTTAACTCCAAACAATCCGAACAAATTGTGAAATTTGTTACCAAAATAAATCACAAAGATTATAGACAATATTTTGTGTGTAAATAACTATGAAGTGTACTACAAAAAAAACCAATATTTTAAATAATTTGTTATCAAAATCCGAGATTTGTTATCACAATCAGATCAAATTTGTTAACAAAATCAGAGATTTGTTATCAAAATAAGATCAAATTTGTTACCAAAATTCGAGATTTGTTATCAAAACCCGATCAAATTTGTTACCAAAATCCAATTAAATTGGTTGACATGTGGGGCCCATTGATATTGCTTATATTAGTAAGTCAACAATTAAATTTTTATTTTAAATATTAGGTGACATATCAATGTGACATAATGGTTTTACCAAAATTAATTGAGTTTGTTACAATTTAATTTGGTAAGGCTTTTTGGATTGATTGAAAAATAATATTTTTATATTTATATGTATCGTTTATCAAATTTCTAGATTTTTTTCTGCAATATTAAACTCCAAACAATCCAAAAAAATTTTGAAATTTGTTACTAAAAGAAATCCCAAAGATTATCGGCAATATATTGTGTGTAAATAACTATGAAGTGTGTTACCAAAAAAACTGATTTTTTAAAAGATTTGTTATCAAAATTCAAGATTTGTTATCACAATCCGATATTTGTTACAATTAGATCAAATTTGTTAACAAAATTCTGAGATTTGTTATCAAAATATGATCAAATTTGTTAACAAAATCCGAGATTTGTTATCAAAATCCGATCAAATTTGCTACCAAAATCCGATTAAATTTGTTGACATGTGGGACCCATTGATATTGCTTATATTAGTAAGTCAACAATTAATTTTTATTTTGAATATTATGTGTCATATCAATGTGATATAATATTTACCAAAATTAATGGAGTTTGTTACAGTTTAATTTGGTAAGACTTTTTGGATTGATTGAAAAATAATATTTTTATTTTGATATGTATCATTTACCAAATCTTGAGATTTTTTCTACAATATTTAACTCCAAACAATACGAAAAAATTGTGAAATTTGTTACCAAAAGAAATCCAAAGATTATCGGCAATATATTATGTATAAATAACTATGAAATGTGTTACCAATAAACCAATATTTTAACAAATTTGTTATCAAAATTCGAGATTTGTTATCACAATCAGATCAAATTTGTTACCAAAATCCGAGACTTGTTATAAAAATCCGATTAAATTTGTTGACATGTGGGACCCATTGATATTGTTTATATTAGTAAATCAACAATTAAATTTTTATTTTGAAGATTATGTGTCATATCAATGTGACATAATGTTTACCAAAATTAATGGAGTTTTTTACAATTTAATTTGGTAAGGCTTTTTGTATTGATTAAAAAATAATATTTTTATTTTGATATGTATCATTTATCAAATCTCTAGATTTTTTCTGCAATATTTAACTTCAAACAATCGAAAAAATTGTGAAATTTGTTACCAAAAGAAATCCCAAAGATTATCGACAATATATTCTGTGTAAATAACTATGAAGCGTGTTACTAAAGAAAAACTGATATCTTAAAAGATTTGTTATCACAATCCGAGATTTGTTATCACAATCAGATCAAATTTGTTAACAAAATTCGAGATTTGTCATCAAAATAAGATCAAATTTGTTACCAAAATCTGAGATTTGTTTATTAAAATCAGATCAAATTTTTTACCAAAATCCAAGATTTGTTAACAATAAGCCAATGATATACCATTTTTGATTTATAGGCCAATGGAGAGCCGAGATTGTGGCTCCTTATTGCGCTTTTGTATGCCGACTTTTGGTCGTTTGTACACCAGTTTTGATTTATGAATTTACATTTATTGATTAAAAAAAATGAAATACCATTAAATTAAATATATAATTAAAGTAAAGTTTGTACATTAGCAGTGGTGTAAAGTCGGTCCATTATTAAAATTTTAATGACTCCGTCCGAACAGGGCCCAGTATATTTCAAAAAATCTGATCTATTATCATTTGATTAAACTCGGTCCATAAACAACTATTAGCCGATCGGACAGCTAATATTTAGTCAAACAATATCTAACGGCCTGAAATCAATAAAGCATGCTATAAAAGGTAAAAAAAACCCAATTTTTTAGGGTTTGTCATTTGTTCTCTCAGCATCTTCTCACTTCTCTCTCCCACCGATTCATCTTTCTCGACCCTTCACCTGACCTTTCGTTTTATTTTTTTTATTTTTGTTTTAATTTTGAACGAACTCAGCTCATGATAATAGATTTTTATGAGAATTTATGTCGATTACGACATGATGCATATTGTTTTGAGCACGGATTCGAAAAACTTGATATGGGCTTTTTCAGTTTATTATTTTTTTTTTCATTTTCATCGATTCAAAAATTTTATGAACGACTGAGGTCTTTCATTTTTTAGTTTTTTTTTTAATTTGTGTATTCGGGATTATTGTATAAAAATTGAAGGTCGTTTTTCCTTTACCGTATCCAGATCTACTAACTCATTGTTCATAGATATTATAGATCAGCCTACTATTCATGGATTTGTTTTTTCAATTTATGGATATTTTTTATGGTTTTTGCAGTTCGCTATCATTTTCTGTGAATTTTATTAAAATATATGATGAATCTGGTTTAATTTTTTGAATTTTCTTTCAAATCCGAAAGTTTTGTGTCGAAAAAAATGAAATCCAGAAATGAAGTATCGATATTTTACTAAAGTATATAATTTTATTTATAAAAAGTTTTAGATCTGGTATTTAATTAGATTTTAGACCGATTTTTAAAATTCAATTTGAACAATAACTGTACTTCACATTTTTTTAGTGTGTCTTGTTTCTTAAATTTTTTATTTTTTAGAATGTCGAACATTTGATCCAAAAACACATACGAATCCTGTTTGTTCATTCGAATATCTTTCAAAATCAGAAAGTTCTAAGAAAAAGTAACATGAAAACTACTATTACGAACGATTATGTTTGCAATACTTTGTAAATATTTAATTATTTTAAGTTCTATATCGATTTATTGTCACTGTTCTGATTGAAACTAATGTGCACATCAAAATTATGTGTTTTTGGAACATTGATACCATTTTAAATACTAATTCAGACCTATATTGTTGTATTGTTGTTTGTTCTTAAACAAATGACTAACAAATAAAAATGGATTCTTCGGGAGTCGGCAGTTTGCTATACTTCATTAATGATTCAGAAACTGGAGCAAAAAATAAGGTAATTGAAAAAAACATATTGTTTCTTTAAAAATTTATCATATGATTATCTATGTATCATTGTTTTGTACTATGAACTTCTTGAACTATATGAAGAATGTACAATTTGTCTATTGGTATTTGGTATATCACTGAGTTATATGTATATGCTGTAATTTTAATGATTATTTTTTACTCAACATTTGGGTTGTTACTATAATGAGTGTTGGGATATCAATAACTGTAATTATGGTCTTATCATAGTTTACCTATAACCCTGTTAACAGTAATGACTGGCTCTTGTTGTCCTTTGATGATTACCTTTGTTTTAGTACTAAAGTAATGTTATTGATTATCATATCATGAAGATATATCATTGCATCAAAGAGATTTCTAGAATAAGTTTGTATATCAGTAAACTACAGTCATATTAACACTAAACATCGGCTATGACATTCTATTGATTGTATGCATATGTTTTTATTAGTAAAACTATATCATTAAAATTCATAACCTGCCATGTTTGATAGCAACTATTAAGAATTATGTTAAGTCTGTAATCGTATAAAAGTTAACAGATTCACAACAAACTTAAAGGTAAACAAAGGTAAATATAAAATAGATAGATTTCATTGAAAAACAAATTT